AATGTCTCACTCAGTCATCATCACAGAAGCTTCCTTTGGCAGTAGATGGGAATACAAAGACCTACAAGTGGGCATTGTGCAGAGAATGAGAGACTCTGGAATGCCCAGTTCTAAGTGGGACATCTTCATCAAACCTCTCCACTCAGGGCTCAGGGAATTCTGCAGAAGAGGAAGCAGAAAGATGGTAAGAGCCAGAGGGAATGGATGATAGGAACAGAACAGTGTCTTCCAGACAAAACAGCATGGACACACATAGGAACTCACAGAGACTGAGGCAACATGCCCAGGGCCTGTACAGGTCCAAGCCAGCTGGGGTCCCAAGGGCTAAAAGGTGAAAGTGGACACAAGCTCACATCCATACCTAGGAAGCTATCTTCAATTGACAACCACTTACAAAAGATAAAAGGGTTTCTCCAATAGAGACTCACTGGGTTTACAAAACACACTGGCCCATGCCCAGCAGAAGACGACCAACACAAAATGAACTCAACACTATTTTTGGAGCCTTTTTGTCTCATGGTTTTGTTTTGGCAGTTTTCACCTTACCAATCTTTTGCTTGTATATTATAATTTACAAATTTGTATTTTACTTTGTGTGTATGTGTGTGTGTGTCCCTCTGTGTTGTGTTTCTCTTGTGCTTTTTCATTATTTTATTTATTTTATTTTCTTTGCCTGTGTGTTTTTTAAAGAGAGAAAGAAATAAGGCACGCAGTTGGCCAGGTGGCGAGGTAGGGAGGATTTGGGAGGAGATGAGGGAGGAAAACTATGATATAAATATATTGTGTGAACAATGTATTTTCAATAAAAAATAACAAAGATAACCCCCTTAGCCTTGATAGCTTGACAGTTTCTAAATGGGACCAGAGATATTTTCATCTGAATGTAGTATTGATCACAAGTAATAGTCACCATATAATTGTTTTTAGTAACTTATCATTCATGACACATTACCTATAACATATCACTATAATGCTACATAACATAATGTAAGCCCAGAGATCATAAATGAGAGATAGTTAAAACGTATTAATAAACCATTTCCAAATACTAATCATATACATGCTACCTCGTAAAACCTTTCCTTGAATTCTCATCTTTTTGTCTTCAAATCCAACTATACCCCATATATCGTTGAAAAATCCCACCCCATCTTTTACATGGTGCTGTTTTTTTTCCATCTAATTAAGTTTCTGAAACCAAAAGGATATGGGCTGGGCCATATCACCTCAATGTTTATAAGCCATTCATGGTGCAGTAGACCATGATTGCATCCTGGTTCAGCTTTACAGTGAAGGAAAGAACCTGCCAGCTGCATACACCCCACATGCTCTAGACTGTGGAGTCACTCTGGTTTCTGCCGCCTAGCTGGCAATAAGTTGAATCAATGCAGTGTTACAAGACAGGCTGGGAAATGAGGAGTGATGAAAAATTGATCAGTAAAGATATCCAAGGAAAAGAACAGATGAGCACACTAAGCAGATGTGAAAACACAATTTTACAATATTTCTGGTTATGGGCAGCTTTCAGTGTTGCATATGGAGCAAGCAAATAGCAAGTTATGGATGAAAATGATACTACTCTTATGAACATGTTGGCTACAAAATGCTACAGAACCAAGGATAAGCTTTCTCAGAGAATCATAATCAGCTGGTGTTCCTGGTGACATCACAGTATTTTTAACGAAACACATGGTACTCATTGTAGAAATAAAATAAATGGCCATCTTCCCCCTTCTGTAGAGATCAGCAGAGGCACCCTGGCTGGTGAGTACAGCTGTTAAAGACAACTGTACAAACACTCCACAAATAACTCCTTGGTGACTTGTCTGAATCCAGAATTACTTAGTCTCATGTCTTCATAGAAGGGTGTGAAGTACATCACACTAGTGACTACTGTCTTATTATTCCTTCTGAAGAAATATTTTAATATTATTTACTGTTGAGGAATAGATTTTAAGCTAATTGCTGTTGGTAATTTACAATCTTTTTATGGGGATTTTATTTCATAATTCTGTAAGACTATGTATTTATTTTTAAATAAGGAAGTTGATGAGTTACTAACACTAAGCATGTTCTCATTAACACCTTGATTAACGAGAATCTCATTAATCCTAAAACACATGAAAGGAAAGATTACACTGAGGAGTTGAGCTTCCGTGCTTCACTTCTTAGAAATGGGTAAACAGCCAGCGTTACTTATGTATCCCAGTTGGTTCATGGCCGTGTGTTGACAGAGGGCACTATTTTAATACTAATTGTATAATAGATTAATTTATAGCCCTGTCTGCAGACAGAATTGCATCGGATTGACCTGTAGTTTCAGAAAGAATCAAAATATACGATCGGGAATTACATTTACAGTTTTGCTTTATGAAAGTTTCAAGTGAGAAGTCCCTAGTGATCAGAAAGAAAAGGTTAGTAGTTTTTTATTCTCCCAGCAATCCATCAGTCCCTCAATTCCATGTGAGACTGTAATGTCAATCCTGCCATCTCAGTAGAGGGGAAGAGAAAATCCCAACAGTGTTGGAGTCCTGGAAGATTGCTCCTCCCTCCAGAGCGCTTTAATTTTGTACAACGTGCATTTTATAATTTTTAATTTATATTCAGAAAGCGTGCTCTCTCTGGCTTTGAGACTGCACTCAGTTTCTGCATTTGATCCTTCAAACGGTTTGCTGTTACTACTTTAGCGTTTCAAATGTGTGGCTGGTTCTCACTTTCCTCGAATCCAATGGGATGTCTTGGAAAAGACGTGGTAAGTCTCTACACATAAAAGCAATTTCTGAATAGCAATGATACTTAAAACAGGAGGGGTCAGAAGCCGTGCTAAGAATAAATATGCATCATTTTTAAATTTCAGTTCTTCAGTGACCTAACTGAGGCTTGAAGACAGCAAACCTTCCAAATATCATACATAGCCAGATTTCTGAGGTCCTTGCAAATTTGCCAACACTGAAGAGCATGCAAATAAACATTATTTATCATATTATGCAAATGTTTCATAGCTGGCTATAATGTACTGAACTAAAATGTGGGAATACAAATGTGGGAGTGAGTTTCCTTCATTAAAGAATTTGGTTTAGAACAGGGGTCACCAAATAAACATGTAGTAGTCTATCAGACAGTAATAGCCTTAAGTGCTGAAACAGATAAAGGAAGAGAAACTCTACAGGATAGGAAATTAAAATCACTATCTATTGGTAAATGTCTGTAACATTAAGAGGGAAGAAAGCATCAGGGAAGCATATCTGAAAAACACATGATTTTATGAGACTGACATCAAAGTATAGGAACAAAATTATAATATTTTACAATTATGCACACAGCACTTGTCTTCCGAAAAATTCCTTGGGTTTGGGTGACTATTTGCACTGTCATGGATGTAGCCCAACTACAGGCATCTTAATTCAAGGGAACAAATCTGTAGAAATAGTTAAAAAGACAAACTCCAAATAATAGCTATTGTGAAACATTGCTATATTTCAAGAGTAGAAACTGAAACAGAAATTTGCACCTAAATGTAGCCACTGAAGCCAACATGCTCAGCCAATGGGATGATCTGAATCAAGTTTTTACTTGCTGAGAAGCTATCATCATCATCATCATCGCCCTACCATCATCAATTATCACCATCATCAATTATCATCATCATCAATTATCATCATCATGTCATCATCATCATCAACATCATTATCAATTATCAGATATTTCAACCATCACTAAAGAACGGAGACTGCAAATTAAAAGTTTCTTCCACAAAAATGTGGACCTGGAACAATTTTTCAAAGAACTTTAAAGGTTTAAGTCAGAGACTTTTAGGAAAGCTAACTTACAAGTTACAAAAATGTTTTAGTATCCCCGGGAAGGTGCTCCTGAACTAAAGACTGTTGCTTCCAAAGCCAATGTATTCTTTTTTTTTTTTTTTTTCAGATGTTACAGTCACAATAAACTTCAGATAGCTTGTCACTGTTGGAACTGACAAATTTTATGACTGTCATTGACTTTTCATTAAATAAAAATTGCTTTAGGAATACTATGGATATTAGCACTAAAAATATTTTTTAACTTGCTTACATGATTCAAGACTTTAATTTTCCCCCTGACTTTTCAATTATAGCTTAATACATTTATTTGTGTTTTCCAGAATCCATTAGTAGCATGAGTTCACTCAAAGTAAAAATATAAATCTTTAATATTCTGTTCAGAAAAAAAAAAACAGTGGAAAGCACCATAGGTTTTATACAGAGCATTTTATACTGGAGCTATTACTTTTAAGTTGTATCAAATGTAATAATTTAACAACATTAAGGAAAAATTTCCCCACTTCTGTTATAATAATGTATTAGTTGAAAGCCTTCTGCCTTGATTGGCAATTTGGGATGTTTTGAAATAGGTAAATGCTCTACATAGTTAAAGAAAACTCTTCTAAATATATTGGAAAAAAAATATTGAGATTTCGTGGTGGGGCACGTCTTTAATCTCGGCACTTGGGAGGCAGAGCCAGTCGGATTTCTGTGAGTTCAAGGCCAGCCTGGTCTACAGCGTGAGATCTAGGACAGGCACCGAAACTACACAGAGAAACCCTGTCTCAAAAACCCCCCCCAAAATGAGATTTCTGTTTATAAAAATGCAGTCTTATGCTATATGTGGTGTTTTCTTATAAAATGGTCATGCATGAATAAAACAGAAAAAGCATGAATGTGGAAACTTTTCTGTACAAAATTGAACTTAAAGACTCTGCATGATGGTGAATGTTTCCAAATGCAAACAGTTCTGCATATGTTTATCATTAATATAACATAGACTGACAAATAGTAAAAACTTTGAAATCTCAGTAAAAAGCATATCCTCGGCTGTCTTACTTCATCAGTGGTCAAGGTAGCCATGTGGGTATTAAATAAGGATTCCTGAGAGGAGGGAGAGGCCCTCAAGACCTCATTGCTTTCCTAGGGACTGGGCACTTTCTCACTTAACTCAGAGCACTGGCCAGTGTCTCTACTTACAGGAGGGTCTGCATCTTCAGCATAAACAGTGGTGATTGGTGTCCCCTTGACAGCATCTGGAGCCACCATCCCCTTGTAGATGCGTTTGCTAAATACTGGAGGGTAATCATTCATGTCCTGTAAAATGGAGATGAGAATTTAGTGCTGTAGTCAAGACTGGGGAAATGGTTAGGTCGATTCAGCTCTTTACATCATGCAACCTACTTGCCATGGCCAGCTGTACCCTCCCATATCTATTTATATCCCAACTGACAACCCAGAGAAGCCAGGTCCCTATGTCAATGTCTATGATGTCAGCTGACGGCCACCCTCAGAATATCACACACTTTCAAGGCTGAAGTGATGCTTGGAATTTGCTCCAGAATATCCCTAAAGGTATGATGCAAATTCTAACCTTTAAAAACATGAAGAAAATTTCTTTTATGGTGTGAATGTTTACGTGTCCATGTGTGCCAGTTCAGCATGTGTGTGTGGAGGGAGCATGCACGTGTTCCCATGTACATTTGAAGGCTCAAGTACAACTCCAGGTGGCATTCTGTGGATGTTTACACCTCTTGATTTGATATGTGGTCTCTCACATGCCTGGAACACACCAGTAGGCCAGACTGACTGGTCTGTGAGTCCCAGAGATCTGTCTGTCTCTGCCTCTGCAGTTATATAAGCAATGCTCCCATGGTTTGTTTTCTTTTTCTTTTTCTTTCTTTCTTTCTTTCTTTCTTTCTTTCTTTCTTTCTTTCTTTCTTTCTTTCTTTCTTTCTTTCTTTCTTTCTTTCTTTCTTTCTTTCTTTCTTTCTTCCCTTCCTTCCTTCCTTCCTTCCTTCCTTCCTTCCTTCCTTCCTTCCTTCCTTCCTTCCTATCTCTCCCACCCTCTCCCCTTTCTCCCCCATCTCTCTTCTTTCTTCTTTTTTTTTTTTAAATGTAGATTCTGGGCCTCAAACTCAGGTCCTCATACCTGCAGGTCAAGAACTTTACCAAACAAGCTACCCAGCCACCTAGCTCCCAATGTGATTTCTTAAAATGTTACATTCTGAATTTGGCATGCCTTTAATCCATGGGAAGCAGAGGCAGGCAGATCTCTAAGTTCTAGGCTAGCCTGGTCTACAGAGCAAGTTCCAGAGCTGCTAGGGCTACACAGATGAAACCATGTCTCAAAAACAACAACAACAACATAAAACTTTTCAGTCCAGGAAATGGGATAAGATGATGTGTTGTTACTTGTTTTGAATATCTTGCATACTTAATATGACTGTATGACCAAGCTTTGAAATGCCCTCTGATTTGATGTTCATTTTTATGAATATAAAATAGTAAGGAGGAATCTTCCCTGAAGCACACTACAGTGATGGTATTTGGAATTACATATGCTTACAGATAGAAAACAGCATTAATTTACTTAAGGGAAAATTTCAAAGCAATTTATATGCATCTGATTTTCTTTTCACTCTGTTGGTTAAGGCCTACTTTCAGTTATTAAGTAGATAATTACTAAGTTATGTCCATGATAACTAAGCACTGGATATTATACTATTGGATACTCTGTGACTCCAGATAACAATATTCCTGTAAGAAACCTCTCCTAACTTCCTTTTGACACATAAAAGTGATGGTCCAGACAGTTACTGACTTTGTCCAAACTGATCTATTTATTTGTTAGAGCCAAAAACAATAAATCAAGTCTCCTGAGAGGAAGAAGATTTTTCTTAACCATCTTATCATTTAGGGAGAACTGTGTGATATTTATTTCTGACTAAATAATGTTTACTACAGTGATTGCCTTAATGTTTGATTAAGCATCAACTTCTGCACTGTTTGGGAGTGCTTCAGGTCAAACACATTTAGGCATTGTGCACATGTTGTTAATTAGCTATTTTTACTCTTCAAGGCACCTTTTCTCATTTGCTCTTAAATTAATATGGCAAAACTACATTAGACATTCTTTCATATGTGTTCAGAGACATCTTCTCTACCCAATGCTAATCCAAAATGTACTAATTAACCAATTATAAACTTCTTTTTTTTTGCAGAATGGTCAGGGTGGTTATGTCTGAGAAATGAGGCAAGTTTCCTTTCATACGTACAGTATGGTAGGCTGGATAAGAATAACCCAAAGGTATGAGATATGAGATAGAAACAGTCCTCAGTCAGCAAAATTGAAAAATAAAAGGTACCATTTCCTCAGACACATAATGCTCACAACCTTTTCTATAAAAAGAAGGCTTTCTTTGTAAGTTATGGAGTATAGAATCTGAACTAGCAAATGCACTTAGAAGTGCTGGCTCTCCATAAGGGGTGATGTAAAGAGACACATCTTGGGATCCAGGAAAGGAAAATGGAGGAAACATTGCATACACACTGTCCATTTGCATACACACTGTTCACTGCTTTTTCAAGAGTAGTGGTTAATTTAGTGAGTATATCTTATAACTAAAGATGGGAATCCAATTTGTACCCCTAAACTGTAACTTCTAGAGGTTTTAAAAGGAAAATCCAACATCACACTTTTAACCGCATGACTTTCCAAAGCTTGAAAAACTCAATGTGCCCCTGTGTATTTTCTTCTGTAGCTATCCATGCCCCTCTGGCCCAAGGAAACACAAAGTTTTGTAAAAATTCCCTCTTTGGGATAGGATATAAGGGTGTATTCTTCTAGTTGCACTTATTCAGTTCTTGGGTGGTATTGAGAGAAAAGGCCTTTTATTCTTTTCTGCTGGGAAGGTATTTACTACATTCACGTTTATGAGTTCACCATGGGAGTTTGGATATCTGTCCTCATAAACCGATTACACACACACCTAAGGCTATAATAACAGAAGGCCATTACAAGATTGCTTATCATTCTCATTATTTTTGCTTGCCATTGACAGCATGAAGAATAAATCAATATAGTTATAATGTAGCAGTATTTCTTTTGATGGCCTACTGTACATGTTTTCATCTTATAATCTCTATTGTGGCTGAGATATGGGGCAGATTGCCCATCATTCTCCCACAATGCGCTGTTTCAGATGAGGCAGTTTATTGAAATGCAATGCCAACATGCATAATCAATAGTTCATTATTTTTATGCTTCAGGGACATCAAAGAAAAACTGCACATAACTAACTCTGCTTTTGTGTTCTATTATGCTGTAAATTTAAAAGCTCAACTTCCCCACTAGAGGGCAGTGTTGGCAAGAGGAAAGATTTCTTCCTCTGCCCTATAGTTAATTTTATCATTAAAATCCATTATAGTTTGCTTCCTGTGGTTATATTTGTTGATCTGAACAAAAATTAGTTTTTGTGTTTCAATAGAGCATTCTAAATATTACCATGGTTTTCAACTAAAACAACATCAGGGATCTCTCACTATGGTGGTTTTTTTTTTTTTTTTTTTTTTTTTTTTTTTTTTAAACCAGTAAAGCTTGTAATTTAAATCCATGCATCCTGCAAATAAAACTTGACCTCAAGATATTGTTATCTAGCTGGAAGAAAACATGAGTATCATGCATTCATTTTCAAAATTAAGGTCTTAAATAATCATGCAAACCGTTTTTGTTTTTCTTTTTTTCAGACCAAAGAGTAGATTTGGAGAATAATTTGAACATCATTCCAGGATGCTATTAGCTAGCTGGCCAGTTTATAAATGAATAACAAGTTGAAAAAGAAAACACAAAAACTAAGTATAAAGAGATGACACAAATGTGATGATTTCAGAAATATGAATCAATTATGGTCTAAATCTCCTTCAGCTCTGATGGCCCCCAAGAAGACACAGTGGTGGGTAACAGCGGATGGAACAGACTTCATGCTTCCGCCATTGTGTGTGGCACTGTCCTGTGCCACTGTCTGGCCACCATGCCCTCCTCCACCTCTTCTCAGTCAAGTACAGTTGGTTCTACTATCTGTGCCAATTAAGTCTGCTCCTGGCTACCCGACTCCATGTCTGAGCTGCCACACTGTTGTTTCCTGTAGGGTCGATCTCTCTTCTGTTCTCTTTTTGGAGGGTATACCTGTGAGGGATTTTGGCTTAATCTGGGTCACACTATTTGCTTGTTTTTTTTTTTTTTTTGAGGCGGGGAGGGGGATTCCAGCATGTATTGAAGACCAGCTGAGATAGCCAGTCTTGTGGACTGAACAAGCCAGTAACCAGCACTCCTCCTCCATGCCCTCTGCATCAGCTGCTGTTTGCAAGTTCCTGTCCTGACTTCCTTTGATAGTAGACTGCGATGTGGAAGTGTAAGCTGAATAAATCCTTTCTTACTCAACTTGTTTTTAGTCATGATGCTTCATCACAGCAATAGTAACCCTAGTTAAGATACCTAGATTTGTTAGAGAGAGGGAGAGGGAGAGGGAGAGGGAGAGAGAGAGAATGAGAATTTCCGAGTTTGTAAACTTCTTGCTGAGGCAAAATATCTGAGAAAATTAATTTTAAAAATGAATGATTTTTTTTTGAGTTACAGTTTCATGTTTGAAGAGCATTGTAGACCAAAGTTTCATACTTCCTGGTGGCCAGAAAGCAAAGAGAAAGAGCACCTTTAATATCAAAGACCCTCCCTTAGCCCTGTCCTCCATGATCTATCAATAGGTTAATTAATCCCTTTATGAGGTTAGAGCTCTGGTGAGCCAATCAGCGAGATCTCCGTCCCCAATGCTGCTGCACTGCCCACTGAAGAACTTCTGAGGGACGTTAAAGCTCCAACCATGATATTACAGGCGTACACTCATTATTATGATTTAAATATAAAGACCTGAAGTTTGGAGACCTTAAATTGCTCACTAAAGGCACAACTGAAATCTGATGAGTCAGACAGACCCTAAACCATTATCTTGATAGCTGGAGGCAACAACAAAGGGTACCACAAAACTCACCAGAACATTTTAGGGAAGTAGACCGGAATAGAATTTTCATTAAAAACAAAACAAAAACAAAGAAAACCCTCAGATAACATTTAAAGTATCTCTTTCTGAAACTAGTTTTAAACAATCCTCCAAGTATTCAATATAACTCCTTTGTCTTGAGAACTTACAGATTTTGCATTGCATAGTTTTAAAGTTTTTTATGAAAATTTTTGTTATGGATAAGACAGAAAAGGGGTAGAAGTTATATCTACATTAAAAATACAACAACCCATTCAATATTCAACCATCCAAATAGTTGTTTTCTCTAAAACCCAAGACAGTTTCCTCAAATATCATTCTTGGGAACATTAGTTCCAGAAGAAGCTTCACAAACAGGACCAAATATTCTTTATCAGTATCAAAAAATATCATTTTATTTTTTGAGATTCACAGTCTATAGTAGCATTATACGAAGTCTTGCTGTATAGAAATTGCATTTGCTTTTATGTAATCTAGCGTTTCCCAAAGTGATTTGTCTATGGTACGTGTGTGTGTGTGTGTGTGTGTGTGTGTGTGTGTGTGTGTGTGTGTGTGTATGTGTGCACGTGCGCGTGTGCACGAGTGTACTATCTCCAAGAATTAGTACACTATAACAGATTCCCAAGAGACAAGTCTGAGATATCGAAGATGTAAATTACCATTGTTTGGAAAACCGAATAACTTTAATCAAAACTTTCTAAGGATGTACTAAGATACCTAACATGACAAGCACCATACAGTGCTTAGCACGTAGCTCCTCAGGGCAGGGACAGCAGCTGAGGACAGGATGTAGCTGGGACAACAGAACCTATGGTAACTGGTGACAGGGCTTAGTAAGAATGAGATCTTAGCAGCTTCCTTCGCTCCCCCTGGAAGGGGGCTACAGCTTGTAAACTGTGACAAGACATTTTTTCAATTAGGGGTGTAAGAGCTAATCAGTGAAGGTTAAAGGGCTGTATTATATACATGAATAAGACACTTAGGACTTCCAGAAGCCATCATGCTTTACTGATGTAATTCTAAGACACCCATGTAATTGTTACAGTTCTGGGGACAAATTCAATCTCTGTGTAGGTTTTTATTGGCTTCCTCTAGTCTAGAGTGTGGTGATATTTTATTTGTGCTGAAATGTGATTTATTTGTATGTTAATAAATAAAGTTTGCCTGGAGGTCAGAGGTCAAATAGTCAGCCATAAACAGAAGTCAGGTGGTGGTAGCACAGGCCCTTATCTGATCAAATGGCAGGCAGAGTCTCTGTGTGGTCAAGGACACAGTCAAGCATGGTGACACACACCTTTATTTCCAATACCAATCATAGAGACCTGGAGGTCTGTCTAGACAGGCAGTGACGAGGAAGTGATGTGGTTGGGCTTAGGGCCAATGAGAAGGCAGAACAGCAAGGCAATAAAGGTGCAGGTTAGACAGGAAGAGGTTCTCTTGGGAAGCTATGGCTTGGTGGTAAGATAAGGCTAGTTAGTGGCTATTCACTATTTCTCTGATCTCTTTGGCTATTACCTCTGTATTTGGCTCTGAGTTTCTTATTTAATAAGACTGTTTAGAAATTAGTCTACACTAGAGGAAACAGGTTACATTTTAGCCCTCACATTCTAAACTGGTAGGATATGAAGAGATCCCAAATATTTCTCTGTATCAGCCGTAATCATGTCTCCCCAGGTGTTCAGCTTCTGAAATTTGGTGGCCAATGCATTAGAAGGAACACATTAATAAGATGCTAACCAGCAAAAGAGAAGAGCGGAGATATTTGAAGGCCACTGTACAAAGCCATTATTTCTATTTAGTCAAGATAAATAACCCTATGGAAGAGCTCAGTGTCTCTTTTAATTTTGAAATTTTATTTTATACAGGTGTTTTGCCTGCATGTCTGTCTGTGCACTACTTGAATGTCTGATGCCTGCAGATGCAAGAACCATCAGATCTCCTGAAACTGGAGTTACAGGTGTGGTATGAGATGCCCTGTGGATTGGGAATTAAACCCAGGTCCTCTGGAAGAGCAAAAAAAATGTTCTTAATCACAGAATAATCTTTCCAGCTCCATGTATCCAGTAAATTGGAAGAGTAGCAATCATTCCAATAGCTAGTTTCCTACAGTAATCTTTTTTTGTTCAAATGCCTCCATTTAGACAGGAAGATGACAGCTGTCCCTAGTCTTGGAATGTGTAGAGTTTCCAACTCTTGTGCCCAGGCCACTTCCTTAAGCCTTGGGTACCATGTCCCAGTCAAAGCCAGGACCCTACTCGGTGTTGTGGCTTTGTCAGCGTTGCTGGGGTCCTGTATATTGGTTCTTTCTAGAGGAGCTAACATCTAGTTTATATTCTGTTGCATAGCAACATTTTGTTCTGGAGGAGAGTCCCTTGAAAGAATAAAACATGAGGTCCTTCTAGGACCCACTGTTTGCCACAACCTGATCCTCTGTGTGCAACGTTTTATTCTTGAGCCTCTGTCCAGCCCTTCCTGTCCCACACAGGCACTCTGGGACAGGCAAGCACAGCTAGGGTGAACTCAATCACTTCTCTTCACAGAATTCCCCCATCTACTCACTCTTCTGGAGCCATTCTGATAGGATTATAATCAATGAAGGAACCCTGCCACTCTGACGTCATCTGACCTCACTCGTCCCTTGAAGGTGTCATTCACCTATGAACAAGCTCAGCCTTTCTGATTGGTACCCTTTCTAGTTCTGCAATTATATCATATCTTAGATTTCAAGAACTGGTTTGTATTATAACTTAGTTTGGGAGGCAAGGCATCATATTGGATCTTATCATTTACATTGTTTAGACCTTTTTTTGATATTAGGTATTTCCCCATAGTATGTGATTTATTATGTTTTTATACAATAACAGTTTGTTTATCAGTGCCCTCTAAATCTACAACAAAATATAGATTGTTTATATGATTTTTGTTTTAGACCATTGGAACTTGACACTGGAAAAGTCTTTTACAGGAATTTGTGGTAAACTTCTATTTTTTTCATTATGCAGACATACGTTCTTCCAAGTATTTGTTTATTTACCCAGTTGCCAAGGTTTAAAATATTAGATGAGCTCAACACTAAATACTTTACCATTTCATCTTTTTCTTCTTTTTTACAAAAGAAACCATGGCTCTGTTCATACTTTTCAAAAAGAGGGTCTTTAAGATGCTTTCCTTGTGGTGAGTGTTCGGGGAACAAATGTCTCTTCCTCAAATACTGTGCAATTATGTTATCAGCAGAACAGCTTGCCACACTGCTAGAAGCAGACAAACAGTTGAAACTTTGCAAGCTTGGGGAAGCTGCATTTGTGGAGAAACGTGACCTGTACTCCAGTTGTTGGTTTCAATAGTGTCTGAGAGAGTTTTAAAGTTTCAATTTGCACATCTCACCTAGAGTTACCCGAAAGATAAAGCAACCACCTGCATTAGAAATATTGTCTGAAATTTTAGTATGCTTATATAAGTTAGAAGAGAATTAAGAACTGATATTGAACATGTATGTAATTAAACATTAAAGAAGTCTTGTTCCAAATGTATGATAAATAAGAAATGACGTGGGTCAGGCAGATTTATCCACTAGGATACTTGACTTCTTTGAATAAAATGAAGGACTGAGGCACAGAATTAGTCCAACATCCTTTAAATGCTGAAGAAGGAATGAACCACAGTGAATGGATCCCTCAAAGATGCTGTTGTGAGGCCTCGTGAAACCTTGTGTTACAATAAAGAGCAGCATGGGACAAGGAAGAATTACCGAGGAGGCTGGAGTCTAGATAGGGAGCAGGGTGATTAATTAAAAACCTATTTTGATTCTGTGTTTTGTTTAAGTGAAATGATTGGCCCCAGTTTCGTTCTACCAACTTTTTCCAAGAATATAATCAAAGCAGACTGTGTTCCAATTGATTTGATATTGTTAGTCCCAATTGGACTTCTTCTGACCCCCTACACTCCTATTTGCTAGGACCATAGTTGTGTTGACCACTATACCTGGCAGTCATGACAAGTTCACAGCCACCAGAGAGGTAAGCCAAGTCCCCGGTGTCAGAGAAATGGAAGATTAATGCAGAATTGAACAATTAACCCACCTGTCTCTTCAGCCCTTTTTATCTTAGAGTCTTGAAATGACAAAATGAACTAGTTCATTCTGAGAACTCTTATTCATCTATACTCTGTCTCTCTCTCCTCTCTCCCCCTCTCTTTCTCTTCTTCCTGAATATCCACTTTGCTGTGGACTGTGGGCCATACTGTATCAAAATGAAGATCTGGTTTGACCAGTCACAGCATATGGAAGACTCACAGCCAGTCTTCAAAGATTTATTTAATACCTCTTTAAAATCCTTGTTGTAGGGTTATTTTGCAAGTCTTCCTAAGTACTTCATATTAATAAATCTTTATCATTGGTTTATACCATTGAGTTCCTATGACTTTTTTTCCCCAAAAATACACTGTGAGTTGAAGAAACAGATGTGGCATATAGAGTCAGGAGGGCAGTCATTCCAGGTTCCTTACCTTCACAATTACTGTGACTGTTGCTATACCAGGTGGCATTGTCCCATAAATATCAAAGGCCTCCACCAAGAAGGTGATGCTTGCTTCCTGGTCAGGAAAGGCCTCATAATCCAAACTCCTCAAAAGGGACAGTTCTCCAGTAAATGGATGCAGTGCAAAAAGGTGCTTCACTTCAGGGCTTCTGATCCGATACGACACATTTGCTCCAAGATCAACATCCTTGGCCTATGACAAGTTGGAGAGAAGAATGGTTACATCAGAGGGTTTCCCACAAGAGTGAGTGAGGGCTGGCTGATGGAAATGCATCACTGCCTGGAACAGCGTGGGTTTCATGATAAGAAGAAGACATGTAACTCATTTTTCAGGAAATGGAAAATGGAGAGAAGGAGAAAGGAAGAGTATAAGCTCATGAACATAAAATACTTTTTGAATTAAAAATACTTGTGGAGTGATTTACATAAACAGGTTCTAAAGTCTTCTAAGTAAATATGGAAACAGTTCCTTCTCTGAGGGATGCCTTGGAAGTATGGGGTAATGTATTCATCCACAAAGGCCACTCTCTTGCACTTTCCTGCCTCTGCTAGTATCTGCTTGGCACTCCTTATGCAGAAGGTGAAGTAAAGAGAATAAAATGAACTGATATATAAATCTTGCTCTCTACATCATACCCTGAAAGAGAACGAGGCATAAATATCCAAATAGACAGGGAAAGATAGTGTTTTATCCAAAGGTGTTCTGAATTGCAGCCCCGCTGAAAAGATGGTTTTCTGTGGAGGTAAAAGGGCCATTCCACTCAGTGGACAGAGTGGAAAGAGCACCTTGGTAGAGGTCACAGATTGGCAAGAGTAGAACTGCAGAACCTTGGGTCTGTTGAGTGAGTACCTCTGTCAGTCGTGTTCTCCTCTTATCTGCTGATGATATCACGGTAGAGGGAACCAGTCAAAGCACAGATTTCATGTCATTCTCCTGTTGAAAATTCTCCTGTTTCCACTCTCTCTCTGACCAACACTATTAGTCACCTTTCTGGCATTGTCACAAAATTCCTTTACTGAGAAACTTATAAAGTGGGGTTTCAGCTCCTGATCACATAGCCCTGTGTGGACATATGGGAGGCCAGGACATCAGGTGGTAAACAAGGACCAGAGAAGCCTTGTCTGTGTCCTAAAACCCAGGAAGTGGAGAGAAACAGGAAGGGGCAGGAGACTCAATATCTTCTTCAAGGGCATGCTACCTGTGTCCCAACCCCTAATAATTGTGCAGGCAGAAGATCAAGCCTTGAGAAATATGGGCCTCGAGGGACGTTCAACATTCAAATGACAGCAATCTAATCCTCTGAACGCAGTGACAGAACACAATGCCTTCTGGCTCCTTAGAACCTTGAACATCAATTAGCCTCTCCCTTGACATTTTGAGTGTTTTATTTTCACACGGCCTTGAATAATCTTTTCTGTTTCTCTCTTTATCTGGTAACCGACTTGCTTCTGAGCCCACGGTTGCAAAGTAGCTTTTTCTATTGAAAAGAACCACCCAAGGTTGAACAGAAGTTATAGCTCAGATTTCTAGGAACTTGCTTCTGACTACCAATGTTGAGAACTGTCTAAAGGTGACTAAGAATTCCATGGAGGCTGTAAATCCATCTCGATCACTTCTGCATCACCAAAAATGTATATACACTCATACATGTATATGTATGTAACAACAATTAATGAGAAAAGAGGACATGAATTTGAAAAAGAGCAAGGGAGAGTCTTGGGGATGATAAGAAGGAGGAAAAGGAAGGGGAACTGATAATTATAATATCAAAAAATAAAAAAAATATTAAAAATATAGCAGAAGACATTTGGGTGCTTATGATGCATGAATGTTGAAGAGGTAGATGGATGAACAAATGGAGAGATGATTCTCTCCTGTTAGCACACATCATTATTTGATCATTAATGTCTGTAACCTAAGTATTTGTTCAGGTATATCAAGAAAGTCTTCATAGAAAAATTCAAGCTGTGCTTTGAAGATGAAATATAAGCAGTTTTTTGTCTTTTGTCATATGTTTCACAGACCCCCTGTATAAGAGTTAAATGGGCTAGTACAAAAAAAAAAAGAGATTTATGGGTTAACCTGAGCTATTGTCTTAAAATGTCATGAGGTTCTAAGATTACAGTTGAGCAAACAGATTTGCACATGGAAATTCATTTAAGAAGATGATAACGTTGTAAAAGTGAGTGAAAAAATTACTACAGAATAAACAGTATTTTATATGTATGCATAAAGTATATGGGGAAATTATATTAGTTCACATGTGTATATGTATACATGAATGTATACATGTTATATATACATATATCTGAACACATGCATATATATGTGTTTGTGTACATTCATGTGTGTATACTAATGTCTATTTGATATTTGTGTGACCCCTTTGGTAGATGTGAAAAACATTTTTAAAATTTAATATCAATTTTTTTGAAGAAAATCAGATTTTTCTTCATGTAGTCAATGTGACAAAACCATCTAGCATTATTTTTATACATGCCAAAACACATAAAATGTATTATATTTCTTATGTTTGCGAACTTTCTCCTTTTAATTTTGTAGGTTCTCCCAGAGGATGTGTTTTCACATAAAACACAATATGAAATGTTTGAGGCATAATAAGCTTTATCCATGGCTTATCTGAATCTAAGTTATTCTGAGCTCATCCTATGTTTGTAGTTAAACTTCAATGTCTTATCCTCACAGCTAATCTTATAATACAGATTCCCTGGAATGAATGCTTATCCACACACCTCTATTTGAAGGAAGGTGGTCCCGGCTGGCAGATTCTCCTCAACAACAACTGTGTACGTTGAATTGGTAAAAACAGGACTGTTATCGTCAATGTCCAACACCTTGATGTACAGTGTCAGAGTTGAATGCCGTGGGTGCACGGCTCCATCCGTTGCCACGACAACCAGTTCATAGTGGTCCCTGACTTCCCTGTTCAGCTTCACGGCTGTGTAAATGCTCCCATTGGACGTGATGCGGAAGAGGTTGTTGAAGTTCCCCAGACTGTAGTGCACTTGGCCGTTTATCCCAGCATCTGGGTCTGTTGCCTAGATGGAAGAAACAGAGGGCTCAACATTACAGCTTCTGGCACACTGCTGATAAACTGTGCCATATTTTCTAACCAAATATTCTTTTTCCTCTAAAGGGAAAATTCAGAAAGATAATAAAGGTACAATTTGCAGTCAAAATCATGAAAAGAAATAAGCCATGATTTAATTATATACTCAGTGGAAATGAACATAAGCTGATATCATTAGAAACAGCAATATATTATGTCAGAGAAAATGAATATTATAAAAATGGAAAGTTTCATGTAGTTTTATTGCTATAGTAGATTTTGAATGTCAAAAATAGTGCTTGGGTTGAATTAATTTAAGATAATTTACTAACAGTTTATGATTTGATGGTTGTTTTTGTTTAAGAAATTCATATAGTCATTTTCATATTTACATATGTTTGGGCATGATGTATATTTACTTCATTTAATCCTTGTGATGATTTTAATGAGTAAATATCATTGGTCCCATTTTGCAAATGAGACCATATGGCTTAGAGAAATTAATGTCTCATGTAAAGTTACACAAGAATTAAATACCTTGGGGCTCCTAGAATTTAGCACAATATCTCATATGCAAAACTCTTTAATAAATGCTAATGAAGCTAATGAATGCTCTGTGAATATACAGAAGTGAGGTTTGAAATTAAACATATTCCCAAACTGAATGGTAATAAAAGTTCATTAATTGTCAAATCAGAAGATGGGGCTACTATTTAATATTAGTCTATGGATCTCAAATAATAGCTGAGAATTGTTGGTGCTACCTGAATCTATATTTGCTGAAAATTTTAGGCAAAAAAGTCATTTTGCATCAAGAATGAAAAAGCTTTTGGTGGCTCTATTTCTGATAGAATGCTGATAGGAGTATTCTTATTTAAAATTCATTTGTTTTTTTGTAACTTATAATCTCACACCACCAGAAACTGTACATTTTATATCAAATGATTCTATTGTTTTTCATAAACTCTTGAATCTATCTAAGAAGATGTGAAATACTATATAATGATGTTCCAAACCACTACTAAAGAAAGAAAGGGGACAGGACTTCATTTTGGTTTTCATAGTCAGTGATCACTTTGTGGGGTCTGGAATGCAAGACAGTGCATTTTTATTTATTTATTTATTTATTTATTTATTTATTTATTTATTTATTTATTTGTTTGTTTGTTTGTTTATTTATTTAAGGCAGTGCATTTTAACGTCACACACATATTGCTCAGTTTGAAAAACTCAAGTTGAGATGTGGACATCGGGTTAGGAGTGAGATGGCACTTGCTGATGGCCTGAGTTCAAGCCTTGGGACATATAGGGTAGAAGAACTCCCTCCGATCTCTACACACACTGTGGGATGTGTGAGCACACAGATACACACACACACACACCCACCCACACATACACACACACACACACACACACACACACTAAATACATAAATACATAAATAAATAAGTGAATAAATAAAGGCATAATAATAAATAAATAAATGAAATGTAAAAAGCTAAGAACAATATGTGAACATTATGTTTATATCTCTAGTCTTCAATTTTATATGCCTGGCACTTCAGCTAGATTTGTCTGTCCCTTGATAAAAATACAGATGCCCTGGAGAGGTGAACCCTGAGAGCAAAATAGAAGAAGAATTACAGGAAGGTCAGGAGGAAAAAAAACCCAGCATAGCCAGAGAACTAAAGTGTTATGTAGAAACATTTTCTTTGAAGCTCTAACTTTGCCTAGATGGTTCCAGAAACTGTTGGCAGGTTAGCTGCACTCGCCATCCCAGTGAGGACAACAAACGACATGCTCGTCATTCTGGGGAGGGACACAGAAGCATTTGTTTTCTGAAGTCAACCGATCCAGTCAAGGAAAAAGTAATTCAATAGTTTATGTAGGTTGTGTCCCACACGCCACTGCTCTTATGGCTTTCGGGCTCATCCTCCATCCTTTTTACTTAGTAAAAATGTTCTACTCATGCATGGTAATTTAAGTGACTCCTACCCAAGGTGGTTTGTTCATTCTTAAAATTCAAAGTTCACTGTGACAAGCAGTTTGATTTTACTAGTAAACCTTTGATTCTCTCTCTCTTCCCCCATCTCTCTCCTTCCTCCCTCTTTCCTCCCTCCCTGTTTCTCTGTTTCTCTCTCTCTTTCTTCTTCCTTTCTTCTTCCTTTCTTTCTTTCTTTCTTTCTTTCTTTCTTTCTTTCTTTCTTTCTTTCTTTCTTTCTTTCTTTCTTTCTGTCTTTCTTTCTTTCTTTCTTTCTTTCTTTCTTTCTTTCTTTCTTTCTTTCTTTCTTTCTTTCTTTCTTTCTTTCTTTCTGTCTCTCTCTCTTTCTTCCCCCATCTCTCTCCTTCCCTTCCTCCTTCCCCCCTCCCTGTCTCCCTCTCTCTCTCTTTCTTTCTCTGTCTGTCTATCTCTGTCTCTGTCTCTGTCTGTCTCTCTGTCTCCCTGTCTCTCTGTCTCTGTCTCTGTCTCTGTCTCTCTCTCTGTGTGTATAAAGGAGTTGAGCACATCTTCTTTGTATGCCCAGCTATTTAACTAACGTCTCATTTCCAGTATTCAGACATATCCAGGTAAATGTACCCTGATTTACCATGGATTATACCCTTACAAACACATTTAAATTAAAACCATTGTTTTATCAAAACATATTTAATACATTAATGTGCTGAGCCCCCAGACTAGGAACCCACCACACTGTGCAGCTCTGGTTATTTCCTTTTATTTCCAGGCATGCTGACTGGGGCTGAAGCTCCCCGCTGCTGCCCAACATCACTAGACACTATCATTGCATAATGAATGCCACTATGATAAAGCAGAAACTTCAAAATTTTAAGTTTATTTTGTATATGATACCTGTTGCTTCTGTACCATCATAAACCCAAAAACTTCTAAGTCAACCTATCACATGCAAGAACTGTGTGTACTAGTATTTATTCCATTGCCAAAATAACAAATAACCATATGCTTAGCAGCTCCTATGAAATAAAAGTTTATTATATAAACCTCTGAAGGTATGAAGTTCAGTCTCAGGTCATCAACCCAAAAGCTAGGCATGAACCATCTCTGCTTCTTCCTGGAAACTCTAGGGAAATATTGGCAGACTTGGGCTGTGTAAGCAGTGAGCCTGAGAGTTTGACCCCTGTGAAAGTAAAAATGTGAAGACTGACGCCACCCTCCTGTCCACCATTTTCGGTACCTATAAGTGTAGTAGCATTTATCCTGTCTTTCTTGCAAGTTTTGAATCACTTTTCTTCCTCTTTGATCTGACCTCTTTTACCCATGGTCCAGCCACCCTGATCCTCTTTAAAGGGTTGTGTATGTATTTTAGGCTTACTTTGACAAACAGGACTAAAATATTACCCTCTCAAGGAACTTTACTCTAATCGTATACTTTGCAAATATATAGTAATCTATATATTTTTTGAAATTTCATATTTACTTCTAGTCTACATGTGAAATTACCCATTTAAAAAGATTTCTATTAACAAACGTTAGCTGGAGCACCCTCTTTAATGCATTCCATAACTTCTTTAAAATCCATGTAAATTAGTTAAAGTGCTGTGAATGTGTCCAGTACACACGCAGACACCTGAACCTTCGTCTCATCTAGTAATACTTAGCTCCCTGCATGGCTAGCCAGTGAAAGAAAGTGTGTTTGGCTGTATAGTCTGCAGCAATTAACTCTAACAATGTTAAAGTTGCTCAAACATGCAGCTAATGGTGACGAAAGGACAGAATTCGCATGAAAGCCGCTTCCTTCCTTCCTTCCCTGTCTCCCAGTCACTGAGCAAGATGAATGAGGTTGGGACTCAGGCACTGGGGGCAGATGCAGTTACTTTAGCGCTACATATGAGGAAATCAGGATGAGACAAGAGGGCTATCTGCAGAGCTCCTATTATCAATAGTCCTGTCGAGAACTTTGCATGGATGCTTAATATCTCTGCTCAAGCAGCTCACTGCACAATGCTGTAAGGGAGCCATTCATCTTCTTACAGATCAATTAAAAGTTAATTAAAATGGCTAATAAGAAAAACCGTACTTCTCGACTTGTACTACATCAAAGCAATAAACAGTAATGGCCGCAACTTTATAATCATCTGTCCACAGTATACTCGTTTCAAAATCTACGTCTTACCGTGGCCTGATTTGTGGTGAGTTTTTTGGGCATGCGTATGGCTGGGAGATTGGCTGAAAGTCTATAATCAAATAAACACTTCAAAAATCAAAGCAAAGGTCTCATTGGAGAGATATATGCTAGGAAGACAAACAGTACATTTACAGCACTAAAATTAAGATTAGAGCATATGTTAAAGAAAACCAGTTATGTTGGGTGTTGGTGGCCCACGCTTTTAATCCCAGCACTCGGGAGGCAGAGCCAGACGGATCTCTGTGAGTTCGAGGCCAGCCTGGTCTACAGAGCAAGATTCAGGACAGGCACCAAAACTACACATAGAAACCCCTGTCTTGAAAAACCAAAACCAAAACCAAAACAACAACAACAACAACAACAACAACAACAACAACAAAACCCACTTATTTAAGAGAGAGGCCAGAGGCCCTGCAAAATCACTCACTAAGCAAATATATCTCTTTGAACAGTTGTGTGCATGCTTTTTCCATGCTCCATGTCAACAGAGCTAGGAATTGTAGTTTCTGGGCACTCAATTCATTCCCGATTTTCTGTTATATTGTTATTTTTGCTCATCGTCTTTTTAGAGGTCTAAATCTTTCTCTTTAGTAAATGAAGTCGTTGCTAAGTTTTCTACATCGGGGTCTGCCAAACTTGCAGAAACCTTAAATCTTTCGGTTTGTTTGAGAGTCTCTTCCTCTGTAGCCCAGGCTGCCCAGGAATTCAGCCTAGACTTGCGCCGACATGTCTCGGCTTCCTGAGTTCTGGAAATACAAGTGGGTGAGCTAGTAACGAAGGATTTTCCTGGGCAAAACATACTGAGAATAAACTTGAAAAGAAGACTAGCGGTGTGTGGCCTGCT